TAATCAACTACATAGACTCATGATATCTTTTGGGTCTACGTATATGCAGAGAAAACTAAAGACAGTTTTTGTGCCTCTTGGTAGATTCACCTTCTTGTAGACTTCCATGTTTGGTTGTTTCTTCCTCAAGGCAGCTCTGCATAGCTACAGGCAGCCTCCCACATGCGTCTTCCCAGGGGCAAAGCCGTGTCCCTGCCCTTCCCCACCTCTCTGAGGCACTGGAATCCAGCCTTGCTGTGCTTCTGCACCTTGTTAGGGCTACGGAGCTCTTTGAGAATCTGATGAAACCGACAGGCTTTCCCTGGGAGAATTCTGTGCCAGCCAGAATGTCAGGGACCCTGACAGTGGTTCTATCATCTGCACCTGAGGATTTGTCTTCCTAGAGTTGGGGGGGGGTAGTCTCAGGCCTCAGCTATGGCGGGTGTGTACTTCCTTGGGAATTGGTAGGCTCTGTACACCTACCTGGGACTAGTCAGTAAGCTTCATGCTCTGTGCTTCTGACTGATCCTTTCTCTGACTCTTTTCATATAACCAAGAGCTTGTGTTGCCAGTGGGCCCGCACAGTGAAGGTCTAAGGGGAAGCTTTTGTCTTTTTCTTTTCTATTGGGATTTCCTAAGAGAAAAGAATAGGTCCTGGGGCCACCGTTGGCTTGACTCTGGTTTGTTTCAACCCTTACCTGAGTTTAGATCTGTTTCAAGGAGTCTGAGCCTTTACTGATTTGTTCTTGGGTGAGTTTTAATAAATACAGGCTAATAATCTGCCTCTGCATAAGTCTTGGTCTTTTTGTGACACTCTGCATTTCTGATCTGGCCTTTTTCTTAATGTCTCTGAGCTAGTTTCCATTTGCAAAGTGAGGAACTGGACTGGGGTAGATGTACTTGAATTGTCCTTCTCTGAGCACCTCCGGCTGGGGGGTGAGTGGGAGGATGGGGTTGGGGGATAGGCGGGGCACCACAGAGTGGGGGATGGGTGTGGGGAGGGACTCCTCCCCCCCAGAGCTGCTTCTGCCACAGCGGATCTGCTTTCCGTGCTTTACACACTGGGTCTGGAGTAAGATTTGTTTCCGGCAGATTCCACAGGGGATGGCTGATGTCTGTGTGGGCCTCCTCCCTGAGCAGGAAGGAGTCCTGTCACCTGGCTGTGGGTGGAGGCAGGGAGAGAAGCAGCTCCTGTCTAACCCTCCTGTCCCCTCACTCTGTGGCAGACATCCCTTCCCCTTGACTCCCTAACTCTGTTCCTAGTTCCAGTTCCGGCAAGGATGTTGTTACCTTTGGCAACAAGAATGTTAGTGCTGCTGCTGCCCCTGAGTCAGGCTGCTCCCAAGGACGGAACCGTGAGGTAATGGGCTCCAGAAGGCAGGGCCATAGGCTGGGATACAGGGAGTCTGGAGAGTCTGAGGGTGTGGTGGGCCCCTCTGGGAGGCAGGATCCTGGGGTGTATGCTCCTGGAGCTCTGTATCCACCCCCTTCCCCTGACCTCTGCCTCTGCCTATAGGAGTGCCCTTCGCAGAGCGGGCAACGGGACATCTTTGCTGGGATCAGTTCCTCTGGGATCCCAGGCCTCAGTTCTGAGGGGGTGTGAGGCTTGGGGAAGGAGCTGTGGGTCATCTGGGATCCGGGGCTTCAGTTCCGACAGGGTATGAGGCTTGGGGAAGCAGCTGTGGCCCGGGAAGGGGCTGCGCTCCTCTTCTCCAGACCTTCTGTGAGAATACCAGAGCCTTCGAGATCATTAGCAGATCTGTTCTGTTTTGTGTGCTCATCTGCCTCAAGGCTCCGGTGTGAAGACCACACTGGGTATGTGGGGTGTGGGGGGAGGGACAGAGAGCAGCAAGGCTGGCAGCAGGGACAGAGGCTGCCGCAGCGGCTCCTGCAATCTAGCCTCGCAGGTCTGGACTGATTTGGGTCAACCAGGCAGCCCCGTCCAGAACTGGGAGCAAACCTTGGGCTTTAAGGACTGAGAAAGAGCCTGAGCAGATGGAAACTCCAAAACCATCATGCATGCCCTCAGCATGTGTCGTGGAGCAGATCCGGTCTGTAGAAACCAGGGCAGTGCCTCCGGGAGAGTCAGAGACCTGCCCCTTGGCCCGGGCCCCAGAGCTGAAGGGTGACCGCGATCCCTGCTATCCGGACACCCACTCACTGTTTTCTTGGGTCTCCAACTTGTATCTACTAGGTGTGTCCTCATCTGGCCTCTAATCAGACACTTTATTTGGGTTTTCCCTTAACGTCTAAGTTAGGAATCTGTAAAAACAGTCCAAGGGAGTGAGGTTCTGCTTCTGAGACCAGAAGGGCCTCCGCCCCACAAGGGTTTTGCGGAATTTGAGAGAACAACGCCCTTTGGGTCTGGGGAGAGAACTCTGCCAGGAGCTTGAGGATGGGCAGCTGGTAGGCCGGATCCTTAGGGAGGCTCTTTGCAAGCCTGGCCCTTCTCTCTCTCCTCCAGGTTGGACCCTGAGGTGCAGCAGCAGCCCCTGTCCAACCCCTTCCAGCCAGGCCAGGAGCAGCTTCGGTGAGTGGGCTGGGCTGGGGGGTGGGGGTAGGCCTGGGTCTGCACGCTGGCCTCTGGGGCTGACTTTCCCCGTTTCTGGCAGGCTTCTGCAGAACTACCTACAGGGACTGGAGAGGATGGAAAAGGAGCCCGAACACATGACCCGGGAGCAGGGTAAGGGGTTGGGCACTGGGGCCAGCGGGCAGGGGCTCCGAGGCAGCACACCCAAGACTGACCCTGGGCCATCGGTCACCCCCTGCCTGTTCCTGATGTCTCTTCTGATCTGGCTTCTCCTCCTTAGTTCTCCTCTACCTCTTTGCCCTCCACGACTATGACCAGAGTGGACAGCTGGATGGCCTGGAGCTGTTGTCCATGTTGACCGCAGCTCTGGCACCTGGAGCTGCTGATTTTCCCATCGCCAACCCGGTAAGCCCCGCTGGCTGGTGGAGGAGGAGGGCTTCTCCCACGAAGGAGACTCAGCTGCTTGGGGCTTCAGTCTTTTTCATCATGACTGTTTTGGGGAATCCACTAGGAAAGAAGTGCTCTGAGCCTGCCTGGCAGGGAGGTGGGGAGGTGTGGGGAGGGTCAGGGCTCCTGGGAACATGTCTGTTCAGTGGATCCTGTACGGCAACTGTGTGCTTCCACAGGTGATCCTGGTAGTGGACAAGGTGCTCGAGACCCAGGACCTGAACGGGGATGGGCTCATGTCCCCTGCAGAGCTCATCAACTTCCCAGGAGAGGCCCCAAGGCACACACAGCCCGAAGAGCCCCCGGAGCCACAAGACATTGGGAGGCAGCCCCCATTAGCTAACAGCCTGCCAGGACAAGAGCTGCAGGGAGCCCTGGGTCCCAGAGAAGATGGGGGACAGGCAGAGGCCAGAAGGGAGTCCTCAGAGCCTGTGCAGGAGGCTGGGGGACAGGCAGAGGCTGAAAGAGAAGGCCCAAGCCCTGCAGCAGAGGCTACAGGACAGGCAGAGGCCAGGGACACTGTAAAGGATGCAGAGGAGCTTCCAGGGGAAACATTGGAGTCTAAGAACACCCCAAATGAGTTTGAAGTTCATGTTATTCAACTGGAGAATGATGAGATATGAACCTTGACGAAAGAGATCTGCACCCGCAGAAGTCTCAGTACCAGAACATGAGCCCCGAAGAGTGGGGCGTGTAGGCTGGGACAAGGACTGCCTCTTTGTCCGCTTCCTGGTCCCCAGAGGGGCAGCTCAGGGAGACCTGAAGTCGAGGGCAGCAGCTTTAGGGCCCAGTCAACCAATAAAGAACTGATGAACTTATCTGCTTGGGCCATCTACTTCCTGGTGTGGCTGGCCTGGCCTCAGGGACATAGGGGGTTGGGGACTGGACAGGCCTCTGGGAGGGGCTTCGGCTTCCCCAGTGGTCCCAGAGGGTGCTGAGACACAGCAGGAGGGCCCGCCTCTCCCTGGGGCCCAAAGGCTCCTCTTCCCCTTCCTTTGTGGTTCAGACACCCCAGACCCTCCTGCAGCCCCACGCTGGTCCCCCCCACCACCACGCCGGTCCTCCCCACCACCCTGTAGGAGCCCTCCCCAGAGTATCAACAAGATCTGCCACTTACTGAGAGCCCAGTACACTCCAGGCATCATGCCGGGCATTTTCTACATTGATTGTATCCTCACAATAATGCAGAATTAGCTCCATTTGGCAGATGAGGAAAATTGAGGAAGACTGAGTCAGTAACGTACCCAAGGAGACAGCACAAATTAAGTGGCAGATTTGAATTCAGGTGTGTCAGACTGCAAAGCCCATGGTCTTTAGCACAGTCTGGGGCCTCACCCTGCCCCAACTCCCTTACGAAACCTGGCTCATTCCCAATATGCCCTCAGGCCTGGTCTGGGTCCCAGGGGCACATCTGTGGACGAGGCACTGCCTTAAGGACAAGGTGGCCCCAAGGGTGGGGCTTCAGGCTCCGGGACAGTCACAACGGAGATATTTTTGGACCATGAAGCTGCCACCAAACCACAGAGTAGGCTCCCTGCCCACTGGCCTGTCAGGTTGGCTCAGCCATGGGGACAGTTTCGGAGCCACAGCCCAGGGATCCAGAGGAGATTTTCTCATGGCTTGTTAATTTGGAACGGTCCCTGGGTACAAGGAGACAAGCGTCCTCCCCAGCCAGGAAGGCCCAGGGTCTCTACCCATCCCCTGTGGCTCCTCTTCCCCAGAAATGGCTGGGTCTCCACCGAGGGCGCGGCTGGTGGCGAGTGGGGGGGGGGGGTGCTTCCCGCTGCTCTAGAGCGGGCTGCCCCCTCTGGGCCTCCGCAGGGAGGTTCATTGGAGGAACAGAGAAGACGAGGGTGAAGGGCTGTAGCATCAAAGCGTCTGGCATCCCCAGCCAAGCAGTTTGGACATCAAGGACAGACAGACTGGCTGAAGGAAGCGGGCCCTGGGGCGGGAGGTTTATTTGCTCTGTGGCTCAGCGGAGACACCAGGACACAGCGGAGCACCCCCCTCCCCGCCCCCGCGCCGCACCCCCAGCCTGCATCTGCCCAGGGGGTGTGCAGCGCAGATGCCGGGCTGCATGGAGCGGGGAAGAAGGCAGTGGTGGCTGGGAAGGCGCCAGCCTCCAGGGAGGGGGTGCTCTGAGCCAGGGCCCCCCCCGCCCCAGGGCGGTCACACGATGCCGTCAAAGCCCTGCAGGCCGCACTTCTTGCCGGCCACCTGGCAGCCGAACCTCAGCGCCTCCTGCATACTGTGCCCCTGGGACAGGCTGAAAATGACTGCGGCGTTGAAGGTGTCTCCGGCCCCCAGAGTATCCACCACCCGGGGCGGAGGGAAGGCGTCCGAGTGCAGCAGCCGTCCATCGGGGCCCAGGGCATCCGCGCCCTCCTCAGCCCAGGCGCAGACAAGCACTGCCCCTTTCCTCACACGCCCGTACAAGCCCCTCAGGGCCTCCCCCGCTGACCGGAACCCCAGGTGCTTGGCCACATCTTTGCTGACAAACACCTGCAAGCAGTGGACGAGAGGCTGACGGTCACCCTAACCTAGCCCGGCTCAGTCACTCACCTCCAGTGGCCCAGCGTTGCCCCCGTATTATATGCCGCTCCTCCAACACGGCCGCCTAAATCTCCAACGTAGCAGTTCCCTGACCCACAGGAATGCGTGTTCATACTCGCTCAAGATGTACTGGAACACAGCCCGGTAACCGGGCACAAAAGCCCCGGGTTTATTTGGTCTAAGACCAACGAATTTCCCTGCAGCTGGAAACCCAGAGCGAGCCTTGAGCGCCATCTTGCGGTGAAAGCCAGCACTGCCGAGTTACACGTCCGGCTCTCAGGAGCGGTTTGCTTTGTTTTGTTTTCCTGATAAAACTATTCCCCAAGGGGCGCCTGGGTGGCTCAGTGGGTTAAAGCCTCTGCCTTCGGCTCAGGCTCAGGTCATGGTCTCAGAGTCCTGGAATCGAGCCCCGCATCGGGCTCTCTGCTCAGCGGGGAACCTGCTTCCTCCTCTCTCTCTGCCTGACTACTTGTGGTCTCTATCAAATAAATAAATTTAAAAAATCTAAAAACAAAAACAACAACAACAAAAAAACAACTATTCCCCAGGTGCCTGGGTGGCTCAGTGGGTTAAGCCTCTGCCTTCGGCTCGGGTCATGGTCTCGGGTCTGGTTTCAGGGTCCAGGAATCAAGCCCCCCGTCAGGCTCTCTGCTCAGCAGGGAGCCTGCTCCCCCCCCCCCACCGTGTCAAATAAATAAATAAATCTTTAAAAACAAACAAACAAACAAAAAACTATTCCCTCTCGGTCTAAAATAAAGGGGCAGGGGCTGTAGAGCTCCCTCCACACCAGTTACACGTTAGAATCGCCAGAGTGAGTTTTGCTGAAAGATACTTCAGCCGAGCTGCACCCCTACCACTCAGCTAAAAACCTGGGGTGTGGCTCAGGCATCCAAGCCACGGGGGAGGCCCAACCAGCTCGGGCGATGATGCAAGGATTGTCCCGCAGAATTCATTCCATCCCAGCATTACCCAAATTTACCTTATGCAAGTCCCCTCCCCATCCTCCCTCAACCCTGAGTGGCTCCCACAGCATGCCACACACTCCAGAGTTGGAGGACACCCCGGAGAACTGTCCTAGTCCCTCATTTGACAGAGGAAAGGGCTGAAGAGGCCCGGAGAGGAGATGCTCCCATGCGGGGTGCTCCGTGGCTAGCTAGCAGCCCTCTGGCTGCTCTCACACCCACTGGGATGCAGAAATTTTGCTCCCTGGCCACCACCGAGGCCTGCAAAGGAGTCCAAAGCGGGGGGCCTGCCTCTTTGACCTCTACCTACCAATGACGCCAAGCCATTCCAGCTGTGGTGGGCGTTCCCAGTAACCAAAGGAACTGCTGGTTCCTTTAAGACCTAAATGAGAGGCACCTGGGCGGCTCAGGTGGTTGAGCGTCTGCCTTCAGCTCAGGTCATGATCCCAGGGTCTTGGGGTCCAGCCCTAGGCCAGACTCGCTGCTCAGAGGGGAGTCGGCTTCTCTCTCTCCCTCTGTGCTCTCTCTCATGTAAACACTTTTTTTTTTTTTTAAATCTTAAAAAAATATATAAAAAGCCACCCATATGAGCTGGATGTGGCAAGGGGAAGCTGCGTGGGCCACTCACCACATCTCCATAGCCAAACAGTTGGAACAGCTCCTCCCGGGGCTTCTCCACCTCCACAGACATGCGGATCTTCTGGGCTGGAGGCTGCGAGGCGTTGTGCTGTTCTATCCGCCGCAGCATCTTCACCTGCTCCGACGCGTTCCGGCCCTGGGGCGGGGCGGGTTGGCTCAGGACAAGCAGGGCCGGGCCAGGCCTCTGGCTCCTCCCTCACTCCCTGCTTGGACTCTGCATCAGGCGGAATAGGGGCGCCGGGAAGCTGGGCCGGAGCTGCATCCTAAGTTTCAAAATTCTAGAGCAGTCATTGACCTTGGAGACCTTATTGACCAGTCCCCTGATTTCATCGAGGAGGAGATAAAGGAATAAAAGATCTTTCTAAGGACGCATGGTGAATTAAAAGACAAGGCTAGGACTCGAACTCAGGATTTCTCCCAGTGTGGCTGAGGTGGGCAGCCCCTAAGGCAGAAAAGCACGGATCTAGGCCTGGAGCCAGTTTCCTGCTTCTGGTGCCTACATTCTGCTGTGTGAACCCAAGTACGATGCTTTCTGGGCCTTAAAACACAGAGCAAGATGGAGAGGGGATGAGGGGGCTTGGAGTCATTGATCTTGAGGGTACTTCATGGGTCAAAAAAACTAAGAAGAAGGTGGAATACGTGGAGGGCTGGCGGGTTGAGTCCCTCAAAACACAGGTAGGGCAGGACTTGCCTCAATGTGGATCCACTTGAACCGGGTCAGGTCAACCTTTTCAAAGTCTGTAGCAGACACATCTGGCAGGTTCCTAAGTCACAGGACAGGAAGGAGAGAGAAAAGGCATGGTAAGGTTGGCCAAGGCCGGGATCTCTAACTGGCCGCCAGGGCCCCCATGCCCGGTGCCACCTGCAGCATGGCCGGAAGCCGGATCTCCCACAAAGGCTTCTGAGGCTCAACTCCGGGACAGGCCCTTTCCAGGCTAACCTCCTGACCACTCCTTGCCCTACTCAGCTCCATCCAGACAGGGAGCTGGAGGCAGTTTGCTGGGGTGCCCTTTGGGTATTAACTAAGTTGTGAACGCTAATGCCGCATGGGTCAAGATTCAGTTGAGTAAGCTATGGAGACCACATCTCCCAGAATACTCTAAGAGCACCAGGGACTACAATTCCCAGAATTCCCCCTTGCCAGCAGCACAGTTTAGCTCCCAGCAGTGGCAGCACCAGGGTTCTAGGTTTGGCAACCCTGAGGTCAAGGCTGGTGCTTGAGGAAGAGTCTAGGTTTGGCTGACTTCGGTTTGGAGATCCGGGAAGGGTCAGCCTTGACCAGAGACCTACCCCAAACTATGCCCTCCCCTCTACATTCTGCAGCCGAATCTAATTAACTAGCTGTGTACCTGGGCCTTTCAGAGGCTGCTTGCCCGTTGGTAAGTGGTCCAAACCCTCCAGCCTGCTGCAGCTGGAGGTAATATGTGTGGATATCCCTGCACCGAGGCCAGTGGGCAACAAATGTTTCCCCTCTGAGCTCCTCTCCTCTTCCTGTGAATACCCACGTGGTGTCCTTGATCAAAATTGCAGATTGTTGCTTAATGGGCGGATGACTAGGACTGCCAAGGAGAAGGTCATTGCCAGCACATATGCCCACTCACTTATAAATGGGACACAGGGAGCCCAGAGACCACTGGCCATAAAGCTTGTTCTAATATAGTTACCCCCTCTCCCCCAGATCCAGGAGTCATGTTAGGCATGTAGGGACACCCTAAACCCCAAGACTGCTGGGTGTGGACCATCTTAGTCCTAACATAGTATCTGGCACACACTAGGTTCTTAGGAAACTAAACGTGTGGGATTCTTCAGGAGAGAATCTGGGACAGATGAGAAGGATCTGGGTCCACAGGGCCTCTCCCTGGTAGCTTGGGACTTTAAAGCGGATCCCTCCCCACTAGTTAACATGGCATCTGATGGCCCTGGTCTACCAACTCAATTATGCCCTTCCCTCTGCTTCAGTGATGGCGTGAATTGTGTGTGCTTTTGGCCTGGCTTCATTATGCAGGGAACTTTGTGGTGGGCTCATGTCTTCTGAACACCCAAACCCATCTCCTTAGTGCCATGCTGCAGGCTGGCGCTTCTGGGGGCTGAGCCCGGAAATTCCAGTGGGTCCCCATCAGGGCTTAAGATGGGTGGAATCCCATCTCCCATCCATCCCTCTCTCCTCAGAACAATTTCCCCCACATCCACTCCCGGGCTGCTGATTGACCAATTATGGAGGAATCACACCATGAATTATGTTTTGCACAGGCTTGCCTGCCCATCCTTGGTGTTGACCAAGGCCAAGTCATTGGAGCAAAGCACATCTCTTCCCACCTCACTTCTCCCCTAATTGAAAACAATTGAGAAATCACTGAACAGGTTGGCATGGGGACGATTTCTGGTACAAAAAGAAAGGCGGCTTGCCGGGATGCCCCGGTGGCAAGTGAGGGAACTGATTGGTGGGTTGTGCCAGGGCGAGGCCAGGGGGCCTTACGTGTCGTAGAGCACAATGGTGCGGGAGCCATTGGAGTTGTTGACGATGCAGCAAGAGCATGGGGTTTCCCCTCTGCTCTGCCAGGCCACCTGGGACACATCCACGCCCCGCTGCCTGAAGTCAGCCACTAGGAAGCTTGGGGTGGATTCCGAGTCAGGGGAAGGGCAAGGAGACACCGATTAGAGCCTATACGTGGCCTGGACCTCCTGCAGGGATGGGGAGGGGGTGCTGGAGCACGTGGGCCTCTGAGAGAAGAAGGGTCCTGTTCTGAGAGTTAGTGACGGCGACAGCGGCGGCTGGCAAGGCGCAGACTGGCATACAAACCTGTAGGCATGCAGGATGGTGCGGCTACCAGTGGCCTCGCTGATGATGACCGTGGAGATGGGGACAGAGCCCGTGGTCTGAGAGACTGTGTAGCGGAGGTCCACAGAATAGCGGCGGAGGTCATCCAGGACAAAACTGCCGGGATGGAGCACCCCGGGGTCGGGGGGAGGTGAAGCTCGACAAAGGTTTGGGGACTGGAGGGTCGGTGGCAGGACCGCTGGGGACCCTGGAGGCAAGCGGAGGGGGCCAGGAGGGAACTGGAAACCACCATGCCGCCCCAGGCTGTGCAAGGGGGCAGGAAAGGCAGGGGCGCATAGCCTGGAACTCAGTGAGAAAAACACCTAGGGACGTTCTTTTAGAGCCTGATTGAAGTAAACTCCAACCCCACACCTGTCCCTTTGGTCTGACTCAAGCCAGAAAGGATGTGCTGAAGTCCGTGGAACTGGATGGGGTAGATCTGGGGCCTAGAGCATGTGCGCCCTGTTTGAACAAAGCAGGCGAGGGCACCGTGGCCAGTTTCATGCAAAGCCTAGGCAGAATTAATAATTACCAAGGTGGTACTTTGCCCCCCAGCTGCCCTCTACACACTCATCCTTTCTGTTCTCTTCTCTGAAGGCCCCTGCCGTGCTGTGATTCCACAACCGCCTCCGTGATGCCCAGCCAGGAAGCGGTGCTGCCTTGGGGAGCCCACCCATAGCCCTCTCCTCTCGCTGCGCGGTGAGCCCTCCAGGCAGAGAGCTGGCTCCCAGGGCCTAATGCTCCGCACAGTGGAGCCCCTGGTCCGGGACTCTTACCCCAGGATCTCCTCCGATCAGCAGGAGCCGGAGGTGGCCCCTCGAGGAGACTGCACCCACAGAACAAGGGGGCCAGGCCCACGTTTCCTGGCCCTCTCTGGACACAGTATCCTGGGACCACTAGTCCAGCCACCATCCTGACCTTTCTCACTATGGCCGGACCCCGCTTCGGCAACACCGAAGCTGGACAATACAGACCAAATTGGGATCAGCTCGGGGCGTCACTCCTCATCTCACCCCTCAAAGATCCTTTAAATAGGAACTTCCCCAAAGCATACCAACTACGGTTTGGTTTTCCAAATGCCTTTTTGCACACACAGTGCCTGGCACATGGTAGGGGCTCATTAAATGTTTTGAGAATCCGGAGTGGCCCACCTCCCAGCATTATTGTTCCATAAAGGGGAGTCCACTACCCTGAGTGAGAGCCATGCAAAACTCAGGTTTTGCCTCTTGCTGGGAAGGAAGACAGCCACTGAAGAAAGTTAACAAGTGACCAGCCCTTGGCTCCAGGCCCTTCTGTCCCACCTCACAGGAAAGGCCCTTGTCTCCTGATCTCTTTCGTGCCCGTTCACCGAGAAAGGGAATCTAGCTGCAGCTCAGGGGGCTAGGCTTGGGCTGCAGCCCCACCCCCCGAAACCAGGGTTCAAAGGGCTGAGCTCCACAGGCCAGCAAGCTGGCAGCCTGCCCTAGTGCCCACAGTGGGCAAAGTGTGGGCCTCACCTCCTGATAAGCATTTGCTGAACTGGCAGTGCCAGGGGTCAAAGGGCTCTTGGGTCCCGGCAGCAGCCAACACAGAGAAAGTGTGGGGGCCTCCCGGCTAGTGAGCTGAGGCCTGGGTCTGGGCCCAGCGTTAGCACATGGCTTCAGGGTGTCCTCGGGCAGGGTGCTCTTGTGGCTTCAGTGAACAACAAGGACACAAGCACTGGTCCTGCCCCCTCAACGGGGAAAGGAACTGTGGGCCTGAACCCTAGGACCACGGAGACTGGACATCCCCGGGGGAGGATGGGTGCGGCACGTCCCTGACTGCCTTCTGCCGCAAGCATAGCCAGGACCACGGGGGATGGAGAAGGGCAAAGTCATATCCAGTGCAGAGTCTGTTGGAAGCAAGGAGGGAAGAGGTGGGAAGCTGAGCAGGCTCTGGAGAGGGGAGGAGGCAACAGGCTGTGGAAACGACAGCTTTAACAGAGAGCATTCACACCTGAGCCGCAGATAAGCCACGCCGGTCTAGGATGCTGGTACTCTACTCCGCCCCTCCCACTCTGGATCCAGAGTTACCCCCACACCCCATTTCTTACACCCTGCCCTCCACCCCAAGCCCCCCCTCCCCTGGGTCAAGACTTCCTTCTTTGCCCCCCACCCTGCGGGCAGGCCTTCCTGCTCCCTCCACCACTCACTCGGCAACGTGGCCCGGGGCCAGCGAGCCCATGAAGGCACAGGGGGCTCCGAGCAGGGACAGGACGGTGCAAGAATTGGATGCGTTCCCTCCGCGCTGCCATCTTTGGGACAAGCACCTGCAAAACACGCAGAGGGTCCCTGCAGCTCCGGTAGGCGGGGGCCAGGTGAAGCAAGGCCGGCCTCAGGGCCCTGGGTAGGGCCCATGACATGCATGAGCTGGGAGCTCTCCCTCAGAAAGCATCTCGCCCAGCCTTCTCATTTTCACGCACTCAGGTCCATCACAAAGGAGGGCTCCAGTAGGGTAACCCCATTCTCCCTTACGATGACCGGTCTCTCCCAGAGGCACAGAGCTGCCGTACCTTCAGCCCCGATTGCTGGAGAGCTCCAAGTTCCTCCTCTCACAGCTGTCAGATCGGCTCCCTGCTCCCGTCTCCGGGGAGCTCGCTTGAAAACTCAGGTTAAAATAAGTAAGACCAGGAGCAAAACTGGATATTGAGATCATTTAAGTGGGGGGTGGGGAGGGAAGGGGGAAGCTGACTTATGTAAGAATGTCAAAAGTTAAAGAGATTATTGGATGAAGACCAGTTTTTCTCCATTTTTTGGTTTCTCCTTTCTTTCAGCTTTATTGAACTATACTTGTCATATAACATTCTGTAAATTTAAGATACACAGCGTGATTTGAAACGGGGGTATTGCAAAATGATCACCACAGTAAGGTTTGTTAACACACCATCCCATCACGTGGTTACCTTTTTTCCTTTAGTTTTTCTCTGTCTTGACTGAAAATCTAACTCAAGGTGTACGCTGACACTGCCCGGAGGCTGCACCCGCAGGGCGTTGAGGTTACCAACAACAAAACTATGACTCTGGCACATCGAAGCACTATCATGGTGTCTCCCTGCGCACCCACAGTCCTGTGGGGTCAACAGCGCCTGGCTGCCGGTTCTGTTCTTCCAAAGAGAACACCTGTGGCCAGTTCCCATAAGAACCACTTATCAAGAGAAATTCACGAAGCAGAATTTTTGGGCTAAGTTATCCTGGCACAAAGACTTAATCCCGAAGTTCCCTTCGGTCTTGGGAAAAGGGGTCGATGACCTCACTGGGAAGGATACTAATTTGTTTTTTTTTTTTTTTAATTTATTTATTTGACAGACAGCGATCACAAGCAGGCAGAGAGGCAGGCAGAGAGAGAGGAGGAAGCAGGCTCCCTGCCGAGCAGAGAGCCCGATGCGGGGCTCGATCCCAGGACCCTGAGATCATGACCCGAGCCGAAGGCAGCGGCCCAACCCACTGAGCCACCCAGGTGCCCCGGGAAGGATACTAATTTGTAAAGGGACAAACAGTTCATGAGCTAGGAGCTTTAGAGAAATTTTCATGCAGATTAGAACAGGGGAGCTTCGCGGGATGTGACTGACTCTCGGGATCACATCCATAGTCAGGGACGGAGCGGCCATCCAAATCCAGTGGCCTGACTCCACAACCACAGCCACGCACTGTGTTGTGTAGTTGTGAATAGAACGTCGTTAGCCCCCAGCTTGGATGAGGTTTCGAAGAAAGGGGCTGCAATTTTACTTTGTGGAAAGCCTTCCGCGTCACACTGATACCCAACTTCCTGTGCAGAAATGCCCTGCTGAGTATGAGGACACTTTCTGGAAAGCTCTTCTCAGCCTGGACTCTGGGAGGAAGAGTCATAACTCAGGGGTCTGGCTGAGTTCCAGGTGGTGGCTCCTGAGAGTCCCCAGATCCTGGGGAGCCCAGGACCCTGGGACAGGTGGGGCTGAAATGCCTGGGCAGGTCTGGGTCCTCACTTGGGCTTGCTCTTCTGGGAGGCACAGGAGTCCAGGAGGTGGGCCAGGTGGGCTGGGCACGAGAGAGAGAGAGAGAGAGAGAGAAAGAGAGAGAGAGGTGCCCTAAGGACAACCACACCATTCTGCAGAGAAGAGCCATGGGTCTGGGGGAGGGGGAGGTACACCCTGAGAGCAGGGGACATGGAGAATATGGTGGGAGGTCTCTTTAGAGATGCCCCAGTGCCCACCTTCAGAATGAGCCCACCCTGGTGGGAGCTAGCAGGATCTCCTTATCCTAGCCTCTCCAGGTAAGTAAGCTCAAAGGGAATGGGACTGCAGCTGTTATTGAAGGTGGCACTCCAAGCCGGGTCTTCCCGGGGCCCATCAGTCCTCGGGAGGACCTGGGGCCTTGGAACCCACACTGTTCTCTTGAGAGGAGGCTGAACTCCTCACTGTGCCTGCATCCTGAGGCCGGCTGGCTTGACCTACCTAGGTCTGCAAAGCAGCCTACCCCTGTACCCCTCTCCCACTGCCCCTGCCCCCCTGGCAAGGGCTCTAACCTCTGGCAAACAGAGCAGCCCAAAGCAAAGGGTCAATTCCATGAGATGGGCAGCAGCAAAGGGAGAGGGAGCGCAGGAGATGACAGATGGCTGGAACACTAGATCCCTATGAATTGTAATTACTGCTCTGCCACTCATTAACTAAGTGGCCTTACAATAATTATTTAATTTCTCCACAGAGGTAGCTGCTTCCTCATCTGTAAGAAGACGATTTGACTGATCCTTACACATTTCCCATGGGCTGCTGTAAGGAAAGTATGGGACTGTGCTGGGTGGACCCAGAGCTTGCAGACTACCGGGGTCTCTCTCCTCAATTAGAAGAGGGAGAATTGGATATGGCTATGAGCGCTAGAGTGTCCTGAGTTCAACCTTGAACTAGCCTTTTATCCAGTTCTTGGCTGAGAAAGCTGAGAGCCAAGCAGCAAATGTCAGGATTCTAAGCACTAGACAGCACCAAGGGAAAGACCCGGATTCCGCCCCAGAGAAATGCCCTTCTGGGATTACAGTGTAATGGTGAGGTTCTTATTAAGAGTAAATACAAGGGCCAACGAGTGACTCTTTGACTTCTACCAGACAACCAAAAAAGATGTTGTTCATTGATTTTGTAAAAAGGACTTCTGGTAAACCCGTGGAATTTAGCACCAGGGAAACGTTGGTCATGGCACATGAACCGGCTTTATCCATAACCCACAGAAGTTCTAAATTTGCCTATAGTGCCAGCAAGCCCTGAAGCTAGAGTGAAGTTCAACACCATGGTTTGAGGGGTCCTTGCACTCTATCTGTGCATACTTAACATTGTAAGCTACCTCAAAATTTATTTAAGAAACAGATGAGATATACGTAGTAGATAAATTAGAAGTGACCACTGGTGAGAGACAAGTGCGTTGGTCTTTTGGTTAAAAAGAAAGAAGCTGGTCCTGCCCCTTATTAGTTACATGCCCTTGGATAAATCACTTCATCTCAAAAGAGCTTCTAAAGGGGGATAATGATTCCTGAGACGGGAACTGGCCAGCACAGTGCTATGCAAAGCCTGGGTCTTACTATTAAAGGCCTCAATTCTTTCCCCAGGTCCTCTGAGGCGGAGGGCACGGGATACCAGCTCCGGAGGCTGACCTCAGCCCCGCAGACCTGGGGTTGGGGTCTTGGCTGCCGGGCTCAAACACGGGGCTGCAGCGGCCCCAGGAGTCTCCGAGGGGCCCGGGCGCCCCTACCTGCTGTCCGTGTCCTCCTCCGGGTACTTGTCCACTACATTGATGACGTCCAGCACCACCAGCCCCACGCACAAGATCTGCTTGTCTTCCATGAGGCTGCGCCCGGAGCTTTCTGCCGCCTGGCTGACGGGGTTCCTCCTGGGCTCTGCCTCTTACCCCAGAGGATTGCGTCCCTGCTCCTGGGGTTGCCTTGGCTCCTCCTCTGCGTCCCGAGCTCCTCCCCCAGGGAGCCTGCTGCAGCCTCCCGCAGGGAAAGAAAGGAGCAGGGCCCTTGCTCCTCACGCCCACGGATTCAAGCGGGCGTGGGAGCGCAGACCCCGAGGTCTTGATCCCCGGCTTCCCCTTAGCAGGTGGCGTGGCCCAGCAGATGGCAAGGCCTCCCACTTCTCGGCCTCAGTTTCCTCACTTGTCAGACAGGCTCGGAGCTAATGCAAACCTCTCTAAAGCGCAGCTAGGCCATCTTCTGAATGCAAAAAAAGGGCAGTACTAAGGCACCCTCTGCCCCTCCCTCTCCTGCACGGGTGCCTCGCACTCCAGGCCCTAGACCCACAGACCTGAGCCGGGCCTCGCAGTACCGGCCCGACCCTTTCAGCCCCAGCCGTCGCTCGCGCCGTCTGCGCCCCGCCCCCGGGGCCCAGCCAGTCCCAGCTCGAGGCCCCGCCTCCGTCGCGGAGCCGCGGGGGCCGCTAGGTGAGGGGCGGCGGTCACGTGACGGGAGTCGGCTCCGAGGTCCCCCTGGCGGACGCCAGCGGAACCGGCATTCGGCGGAGGAGGGCCGCGGACCGCGCCTCTCTGCGCGGGCGGGTGCACAGCAAGTGCTCGCGGAGCCACCGAGCGGGGAGATGGGGCGACCACGACAGGGAACCCAGAGATCCCCCCTCACCCCGTCGCCTTTGTACTTCTCTCTACCCTTGAACACATACTGGAGCAGACAGTTTGTTTTGTTTTGTTTTGTTTTTTAGAAAAACCAAGTGTCTTTATTCCTGAATAGTTTAGTATGGCGGTGGGGCCGGAGCCCTTCGGGAGAGCCCTGCATCGGCCCAGAGACCAGCTGGAGGAGCTCTGAGAGTGCGAGGATTGATTGGCTCCTCCGCAGTCTGGGCCCTGCCGCGGACGGTGAGCAGACAAAAGTCTGGACGAGAGGACCCCCGAGTCCCCGACCCGGCGCGCTCAGGCCATGGAGAGGAGTGCTCTGGGCGCCTGGGCCACAGAGGGTGCGGGGACGGCGGCTCGCCTAGGGCTGGGGCCAGAACGGAGCCCCATCTCGGGCGGGGAGCCCGGGGAGCCCCGTCACCCCCGCTGGCTCTTTGGGCCGCGTAGACACTTCAGCCCTGTGTCTACACGTGTTCTAGCTCCAGGTCCCCGTAGAGCAGGGCTCCACTGAAGATGGTGAGCGGCTCCTCTGAGTGTGCCAGCTGCCCCATGACCAGGTCGATGCAGACTGTGTCTCCAGCCTGCAGAGGCAGGATGAGGCTGAAGACGCCCAGGGCGCCAGGGCTGGGCTGGCTTTCGGCTACGGGCTTATTCTCCAGGCCCTCAGGCTCATAGCCACCAGAGTCTATGCGGGCCACGCCCAGGTTGGAACGGGACAGCACAGCCTCCACTTTCTCATGCCGGTGCCCGGTCAGTACCGCACTCAGCAAGTAGCGGCCGGCCAGAGGTGCTGTGAACACGCCTGGGGACAAGGATGGTAGTCAGGAGGCGAAACAGGTGTCAGGGGCCAAGGAGGTTTTGGGGAGCCCACCCGGAACTTCTGGACTAGGGAGACACCTGCTGGGTCTTGTCATGTGACATGCACTAGAATGTAAGTTCCACCAGGCCAGGGAATTTGGTGTTTTGTTCATTACAGCAGCCCCAGCAGCCCCCACCCCCGGCAAAATAAGCACTCCTTCCCCCGACCCTTCAACCACGCTGTGCTGAGAATGAATAAATGAAGTAAATAGAGGTCTCCCCAAACCAGAGCATGAAAATATCCCCCTTGCCCAAGGAGGCAAGGATGAGAACATATCACTGCACCACCTCCCCGGCCTGCCCCATTGCCCAGCCAGCCAGCCTCCAGGCTTACCAGTCTCTGGATCGTAGTAGCCCCCATCGTTGAGCAGGACTCTGTCAAAGGGCACTGTGCCTGGTTCAGACCGTGGTAAACTCAGGGCAGCTGAAAAGGCCACCCGGGGGACAGGGGCTGCCGGTGCCCCCTCCACTCCTGGGTAGGGGTAAGGTGGGAGTCAGAGTGGATGCTCAGTGCAGAGCTAACTGGCCCCCTTCCCCTCTGGGGTCTCTCTCTCCACGGCTGCCTGAGGCCTTGCATCCTCCAACCCCCAGTTCTGTTTCCCTCCCTCCAGCACCAAATGAGACGAACTTACCCTGCTCTCCCTGGGGACCTGTGGGAGGAGGAGAGGGAGCAGTGAGAAGTGGGGGAGCTCTCACTAAGTCACTCAGCAAACATCTGCTGAGTCTCTCTCACTGTGGTAGGTGTCACACAGACTCCACAGCAGGAATGGGGGGTATCAAGACAAGGAGAAATACAGTCCATTCAGTTCAACCAGGCCCCAGCCTCTCTCACCCTCCATAGCCCTGTCTTCATAGCTCAGCCTTAGTCTTCAACACAGCGCTCAGCCCACCATATCCAACTAATCCACACAGTGAGTGTCCCAGCTCCTAGTCACTGCCAGCCATGTAAGACCCCCCCCCCCAACTCCTTGCCCCTTTCCTCCTTTCTCTGTCAAGTTCAGAGTGGAATGAATGTCAAGCCTAGGCTGCTAGAGGTGTGGGGAAGCCTAGCTGTGGTAGGGATCTCAGCTCACGTACCTGGTGGCCCGATGGGCCCTATTTGTCCATCCTTGCCTGGAGGTCCTGGCGGTCCAGCAGGGCCTGGTGGTCCCTGTATCCCAGGAGGCCCAGGGGGCCCTGCCTCACCCGCAGGCCCTATGGCGACAAAATTAAATTGAAGGAAAGCCATAAAAGGAGTTTCCAAAGGACAAGGAAGGTCATGGCTCCATGGGCAGGTTGGTGAGGCCCGCTGCCGCTCATGCCGGCTACCTGGCGGGCAGAGCTGTGCCCTGCCCCGACCCACCGGCCTGTCTGAGCTGCCAGGGGAGAGTGGGGAGCTTATCTCTTGTGGACAAACCATCCCCCAGGACAGTGGTGGGTCTGTAATTATGCTGGGCAGAGTAGGGAGAAAGTATATAAGGTTATGAGGGGCTGTTGTGGAGGAAGGAAGGAAAAAGAAAGGACTTAAAAGGGGTTCCCCCCCCACCTCCCACTGCATGCTTCCTTTTGCCCCCTCACCAGTGAGGTCCTTCAGACTGAGCTGGTGAAGCTGGTCCTCCAGGAGCAGCACAGAGCTGTTAAGGGCTCCAAGCCGCCTGCCCAGGCTCGCCTGTCCCCCCAGCAGCTTCTCTAGCAATGCTGCCTGTGTCTGGCTGGTGCTGTTGGTTTCCCGTAGCCCAGCCCAGAGCCCAGCCACGTGTCTGGAAAGGCCCTCGCGCAGGCCCTGCAGTCCCCCGGCCACCGTGTCCAGCCGCTCACAGACTCCCTCAAGGCGGCCCAATCGCCCCTCTAGGCTGGGGCACTGGCCAGCCTGCGCCTGTCCCTCTTCCAGGCCTCGGAAGCGCTCCTCACTCTCCGTAGCATGTTCCGTGGCCTCCTGTTGCAGCCTGTTAATCTCTGAGATGATGCGGTCCTTGGTGGCTCCTAGGTCAGCCAGATCAGCACCCTGGCCCTCCACGGTGGTCTGGAGCTCATGCAGTGAGTCGTTGAGAGAGCTGAAGGTGAGAATGACCTCGGAGAGCTCTCCTTGCAGGGCCTGGAGTGCTGAGCCTGAGCTCCCCCCAAACACACTGAAGCCATCCAGAGGCCCTCGGCTAGGTCCCCCAACACCTGGGCCAGCCCCAGGGCCCCGTGGGGGCAACAGGGGACATGAGCAGCGTTCCACACCATCCCGAAGGCGGCCCAGCTCTTCTTGGACGCCGCCGCAGGCCCCACAGCCCTCATCCCCGCGGGCCTGCAGCAGTCCCTCCAGCTGGCCCAGCCGTGCGGCCGTGAGATTCAGCTGCAGCGCCAACTCTGCGATCGTCTCATCCTGTGCGTCCACGCGCCCCTGGAGCTGGCTCATGAGCCCTTGGAGTTCTTCCAGGGCAGCCTGTTGGGCCTCCCCGGCCGCTCCCACCTTGTGCAGGTCGGAGCCCACCAGACGCAGCTGCCCCTCGCTGTCTAGCACCCTGCGCTCCAAGGCACTGAGGATCTCGCTGACCTGGGAGTCCTGCTCCCCAGGGGCCCCGGGGCACAGCTGGCCGCACGCCTGCACGGCCCCTGCCACCTGCTCTTCCAGCAGATCCAACCGCCCACCCAGCATCCCGCTCACGTTGGCCAACTGTCCCTCCAGCTTTTCCAGTCGGCCCCGGGCGGCAGGCAGCCAGTGGCTCAGGCCCCCAGGACGCCCAGGCCAGCCCACCTCCTGGTCCTCTGAGGGACCCAAAGTGGAGTTGAATTGGTCCTCCAGGCGAGAAAGGCGGGACGCTAAGCTGGTGTAGCCTGGGGGGTGGCCCCCCTGCCCGGCCCCTCCTCCCAGCTCGGAGCCTCGCCGCCCACTCAGCACCGTCACCGAGCCGGCCACTACATCCAGCCTCCGCTCCAGCTCCGCCAGCCGCCGGCCCAGCTCAGGAGGGCAGCACTCCTGAAGGGGCCTGCGGATCCCGTGCCCGGGGAGCTGCCGCTGCCGCTCTTCGACGGAGGCCAGTAGCTTCTCCAGGGCCCTCAGCCGCTCCCTGTCCTCCTGCTGCTGCCGACGGAAGCCATCAAGCCCCGCCAGGCACACGGAGCAGGACTCCTGCAGCCGTCGCTCCAGCTCCCGCAGCGGCTCCTCGCTGTGGCCAGGAGGGGCTGGGGTGGGGTCCAGGGCCCTGCCGCCGCCTCCTCCTCCTCCTCCAGCGTGATGGTTGTTGAGATGGCCCAGCTCCTGGTCGTGGGTGGAGACGCGGTTGTCCAGGAGCTGCAGCTGCTGCTGGATCTCACTGAGGGTCTCGTGCACGCCGGGGCGGGCCGCCGCATCTGCAGGCTGCTGCCTCCCGTTGAAGGCCGTCTCCACGGCCCTCTGGACGTCTTCTGCCAGACGCCCGCTCAGTCCCTGCAGGATGCCTCGAAGGCCCTGCAGCTCCTTCGTCAGGCTCTGCACCTGCTCCTCCAGTTGCTGCACCTTCTCTGAGTCCCCAGGACCTGGCAGAGAGGGGATGGCATCAGGCAGGGGGGCCGGGCCTCAGAGCTCAGAGCCTCTAACCTCCTGGACCCTGGTCTCCCCAGCTCCAGCGAGAGGGCCTCGCTGATTCGGCTGGGTACTCTGGGCAAGAAAAGGCGGAAGGAAACTCCATTTACTGAATGCCTGTGGGCCAAAATCGTACCATGGCTTTGCCCCCTTCCAACAGACTCCCCTGGACAGACACTGCAGCTTCTCCCACTTTGTATACCGTTAGAAAGAGAACCAGAGATGACGGAGCTGGGCCATGGATTATAAGTTTAGTCAGTGGCAAAGCCAAGTTTCAAACCCAGCTCACCCATCTGACCACCAAGTCTACAGTTCAGAGGGAGTCTGAGAAATTGCTTCCTTGTCTGTGAAATGGGAGCGCAGGGAGACACTGTGGGCCCCACCATAGTGGCTATTCTGAGCAACGTCTCTCCACAACAGCACAGGGACAGACGAGGTTCCACGGGAAGCCTGTGGGGGCTCCAGCTGGAAGGTGGGACCGTCAGCCAGAAGTTCCTGTTTCCATCCTTACAGCATGACTATCTCCCGGGCAGGCGAGCACAGCACATCCGCAGTGCACGGCACGCACACGCGGGAAGGCCAGCGGGGACTGCTGCATTCTGGGACCTGCAGTCTCCAGAGGCCACCGAGGGGCCTGGGACCTGTAGTCGGGTGCAGTGCATTCTAGGACTTGTAGTCTGAACGGTCTATCCCCTTGGTGCCCAAGCTTCTCGAAGGAATTCCCCTTTCCTCCCACTGCCGTTCCCAACTAGGCCACATGTGGGTGTGCGTGAGCACGATCTCTTTCTCTGCCTTCTTTTTCTCTTGATCTCTCTCATTCTCAGTTTCTATGTGACTAACATACACACACACATGCGCGCGTGCTACACACAGTGCACACGCAGGCAGAGAATCTCAGGGATCTCACTTACTCCGTGGCCCTCAGCAGCCTGGCCCCACATTTTCCAGCCAGCACCAGCCCCCACTTCTCTCCCCAGTGGCTCCCATACTCACCTTCCCCACCTAGTCCACTCAGGTGGCTTCCTGCACTGGAGCCAGAGAGGTTGGGGCGGGCGGGCCGGGGCCGGGGGCGTGGCGTGGCGAGTGCAGGACCCAGCGCCGGGGCGGGACCCTCAGTGCAGTCATCGCCCCCATACCCCTGACAGCATCTCCACTCCATATCCGTCACAGTCTTGTAGGCCACTCGGTAGCGAGGGCGGAGGAAGCTGCGGTACCTGGGAGGGACAGAGGGAGGCCTCTTTACTCTTCCCTGTACTGTCAGTGACCCTGGGTCCTGTCCTCAGAGATGGGCAGCTGCTGGTGGTGGATAAGGCCTGTCCCTCAGGCCTAGTCCCCCTTACCATCCAGCATGTGGCTGCACTCAGTTGACAGCTGTCAGCTTGCTGGCCAATGGCCAAATCCCACTTGTCCTCCCCCTGTCCTATGCTGGAACCTCAAACTCCTCATCTTGAGCCTGACTCAGCCCAGAGAGGCGTCTGGGGCCCAGCAGGGTAGTCCGGGTGACTTTGCCCTCTGTATCCACCCCAAACTGTTGCCTCTGGGTCTTCTCAAAATGGCTCTGACTGAAGCCCCCGGTCCTGCCTCTGGCTACCTGCTTTGTACAAATTCCCCGAGCCGGCTGCCCTCCTTCTGCCCTGGCCCAGCCCCCACCAAGTACCCAGCCCCCAGCGCTGGAGCTGCCCTCCTTCTGCCCTAGCCCAGCCCCCACCAAGTACCCAGCCCCCAGCGCTGGAGCTCACATGATACTGCGGGGACACTGGGGCTGGCCCCAGCCACAGGGCTGGTAGTCCGGCTTGACGAACGTCTCCACTCCATCCTCCAGGACGCAGCTCACTGTCCGGGTCACCACATAGGCACACCAGTTCCTGTAGGCACAACCCCACCTGGGCCCAAGGGCCAGAGACACGAGCCCCAGAGGAGGACCCAGGGGCTACCAGAGGGGCTGAGGGAGGGTCAAAAGACAAAGGGCCCCTGGGGTCCAGGGGGAACCAGGACTTTGGCAGCGGCAGCTGCCCCCACGCTTTCCTGAGCAGTAGGAGTTGGTGAAGACTTTTCAAGACAGCGAGAGGAGGCACAGAATGGAAAACCACAGCTACATGAAGTTGATCCTCATGGCTGGGGGTCGTGGGGAGCCTCTGAATTCACACATTCATTCACGTCCCTTTCTGTGTCAATCCCTAGTTCGGAGTGGCCTATTGGAGCCAGCTGGCTGGGTCCCTCTGGTGATCCCCTGGATGCTGGCTTCCACCCACCCCTCAGGGGAGAGGACGGGGCAGGCAAGGGTCCAGCTCAGGGTTAAGTAGAGAATAAGCCATTGATGAGCCCTGCCCCCTTGGGGCTTGCGTTCTACACTCTCTGCCCCATGCAAGCTGGCTTTTGATCTGTGTCTGGCTGGAGAGCCCAAAGGAACAGAGCGGAGTGGTGTCCGAAAGAGTCACAGATACTGGACGGGCCCACGGAGCCCGAGGAAGAGATAAAGGTCTGTTGGAGGATAGCAGGCTGGTACAGAGCTGGCAGCACTCAGGGAGGCCTGGCCCAGGCCCCTCATGGTGGTTTCCCTGGGCACCTAACTGCAGGCCCCCAAGGTGAGAGGGGGACCTATCTATGTAGGGGGCCCAGAAATGCTCTGCGGGAAGGTGGGCTTGTGCAGAGCTGCCTGGCTGGGCTTCCTCTCCCACTCTTCCCCGCATTAGCCCTGGGGAGGGTGGCCAAGGAGGGGGTGGGGACACCCACCTTCTGACCCATCCTCCCACCCGCGTCCAGCCTGGGTCTGGGACCCAGACTCTTACCTGTGGCGGCTGGCAGGCCGGGGGGCGCTCTGGGCCTGGGGTTCCCCAGGACTGAGGGCCCCTCCGCCCCCTGTGTAGAGGCTGTAACCGCGAGGGGAGTAGCTGGCGGCCCCCACGACTGTGGTCAGCAGGCAGCAGAGGTAGCAGTTCCAGAGGGCGCTGGGGGCCATGGTGGGGGGGCTCCGCGGTGGCCCTCAGAGGCACATCCCGGCCTGACCGCTGGCGCCTCTGTCTGGAGCAGGGGATGCCGGGGCTCCGCGGGACAGCGCTGGCCGGGTCCTGTCCCCAGCTTCCTGTGGCAGCCCCCAGCCACACGCCTCCTTCTTGGCCGCCTGGCCTGACCCCTCTCCCCCTCCTCTTTCCTCCTCAGGCTCCTGTCCGTCCCTCCCTCGGTTCCTTCCGCTCTCCTCTTCTCCACTTCTGAGGGGAGTGTGTTCTCTGCGCCTCCTGGCCTCCTGTGCCTGGTCCCTGCCCCTTTCAGATGCTCCTTCCTGGGCCTCCACCCCCTCGCCCTAGCTGGCCCTCCTCTGGTCTCCCTATCTGTTTTCCCCAGTGACCGGATCCTGGAGGTGACAGGGCTTTGCCCCTGTGGCTGTTCAGAGGCGCAAGAGTGGCTGTGGGGCGGGCCCTGGCCTCCTGCCTCCCTCTCTTGCTCACTCCCTTCCCCCCTGTCTGGCTGGCGGTCCAGCCTCCCCCCCCCCCCCCCACCTCTCCAACCATCGTGCGCCACATCTGCTTCTTGTTAACTCCGGGAAAGAGAGGGAAAAAAAAGGAAAAACAGAGAAATGTGGAGTTGCCGCCAGGCTTGGGGCCAGCCTCTCAGACGGGCCACATGGAGTGGAGCCGGGGCCAGGCCTGGGGAGGAGGCCCAGGGCTGGTCGCTTAGACAGAGAACAGGAGCCACAGCTCCCCTGGGGCTAGGGCAAGCCTCCCCTGAGAGAGAAAACTGAGAAGAGGAGGGGAGGACTGTGAAAGGGAGAATGGACTTGGAAGGCTCAGCAGGACACCACTCACCGTCTAGTCCAGCTGCGTCCTTTTACAGATGTGAACAACGAGGCCCAGAGCTGGAAGGTAACCTGTCCAGGCAAGCCAGGAGCAGGCCCCTGATCAGAATCTACACTCCTAGGTCGGCAACTTGGGACAAGAAGAAGAGAGGAGAGAGGGCTATTGGGCTGGGGAGAAGGAAGAAGAGGTCTCCACGGAGGCAGGAAACTCAGAGAAGCTAGAAGAGGAAAAAAGGAATCTGGAAATGAGCAGGTAACCTTCTGTCAGGCATGGAGACGACATGGGCGAGAGGAGGAAGACTCATTCTCAAAAAACCAAATGAGTATGGATCTCAGGCTTGTCTTGGTGAAGGTCAGGCCTAAGTGGGGGAGGAGAAGGAGCGAGGCTGACTGGGGGTGCCTAGATCCATGGAGCCCAGAGGAAATCCTTCCCTAGCCTGGAGGCAAGCCCGAGACCCTGTGTAGCAGGCAAGGGACTCAGTCACACTCAACCATCAGCCGGACCCGAAAGCTCCTCTCAGAGCAGTCTGAATCGGTCAGCTGCCCCCGTCCTCTCCGTCACCATCTGGCCTCAGCTCCGTGCTCAGGCCCAGGTGTCCCTGTGCGGTGGGGTGCTTGCTTACCAGCTCCGAGCAGAAGGACCAGACAGAAGGGAGGTGAGCGTGCTGTGTGGACGCCCCCAGGGAGCAAAGGCATGGGGAACACTCCGGAAGGAGCACCTGGGACCATGGGGATGGGACACAGGCACCAAAACAAGCAACACAAAGCAGGACAGACATCGTGCCAAGCTGCATAGGGGGAGGGGAAAGACAGCTGGATGCTCCGGGGAGTCAGAGCAGAGCCGCTGGAAGAGAGAGAGAGGCTGAGCAGTGTTGGGGTAGAAAAGTGAAGCCCGGAGATGGGGGAGGGGAGAGACTGCAGGCTGGGGAAATGAGGGCTGCCTCAGTTTCCTCATTCCTCAACATGGGAATCCTAACAGCGCCCTCCTTCCTAAGTCTGTGAGGATAGAATTAATACAGGTAAAGCATTTAGAATAGTGCCTGGTACATGGAAAATGCTTAGTAAGAGCTCTTATTTGTGTCAGGAAGAAACGGGACAGAAAGTCAGAGAAGTCAGTTGTGGAAAAATTGGGGAGAGGCCCAGATGACTGGGTAAGAGCTTGGATTACAAGTGTTTGAGTAGGAGACTGACAGGCCTTCAGAAAGAAAACATGGCAGGCAAGAGCAATGGGCAGGGTTTTGGGCACAAGGACGCTGATTCCAGCTCCTCCTTTGAGAAGTGTTATCCCTGAGAACCAAGGCCATGACTCCGCTGGAGGTCTGCCGGCTACTGTCTGAGGTGCCTTCGCCATTCTACAACGGCAGAGTGGTGCAGCCTGGAAACAGAAGGCTGTGGTTGCTGGGGACTGCCTGGGTAATGAGGGGCCAGAGGAAGGGAGACATCGCAGAGGATTCTGGGTTTTGAGCCAGGATGGGGAAGTTGAGACGATGAGCAGCTTTGGAAAAAAGGTGACCTTAGTCTGGACCTACTGAGTTTTAAGATGAGAATAACATAGTCGGTGGCAGTAAGTGTCCAGGAGATGGTCAGAGATGTGGATCTTGCTTCTGGGAACCGTCTGCAGGGCAATAGTTGGAAGCCACGAGAAAGGAGGCCACCGAATCTTCAATGTGACTCTGTGTGAGCTGTCTCTGAGGTCCGATGGTCCTGTATGTGATCTTGGTGACTGGGAGACATGTTGGCAAAAAGAAAGGATGGTGAAAGTGAATGCTGGAATCCACGGAAATGGAAATTTGTGGCTGCCCCTTAGGAGCGGAGGGATTGGCACACAGGGAGGCTTGAAAGAAACAGACTCAGGAGATCCTGATTCAAGAGCTACTGTCAGTGGAAGGTTGCAGTGTTGTCTCTGGTCTCTGCATTGGCTCTAGGCCCTGGCCCTGGCCCTGACACTGAGAGGAAGGCGACCTGCTTCAGGTTGCCCTCGATGCTGCTGTTGAGTTTTCTTTCTCAGTTCTTGCCCCCCTCTCTCCCTTCAGGGGGCCTCTGACAACCTGAAAGGTCATCCCAGCCATCTTGTCACTGCCTGGTTGTCACTCATTCCTGAAGTTTAAATGGGTGCCTCCCTTCAGTTTAAAAATCTGTTGTATTTTAAGTGTGTCAAGCCAAAAATGTTGGCTTTGAAATACCACTGCTGTAGGTTAAATTTCATTCAGGCCCGTCATTAGGAGCCAAGACCTAGGGGCTAACATGAATGTTTGTGATACCTCAAATGCATCAGTGGCTCTGGGTTCACTGGGGAGGCCTGAGCTGTTGGGCAAGCAGGCCCCAACTGGAGACGAAGGTTAGAGAAGATGCACTGGCGGTGGCGGCGGTGGTGGTATTGTCGAACAGCTACAGATTTCCAAAGCAATTGGCAAGAGAATTCCTGAGATCAAAAATGACCAAGTTTGGGGCGCCTGGGTGGCTCAGTGGGTTAAGCCTCTGCCTTCAGCTCAGGACATGATCTCAGCGGTCCTGGGATCGAGCCCCGCATCGGGCTCTCTGCTCATCAAGAAGCCCGCTTCCTCCTCTCTCTCTGCCTGCCTCGCTGCCTACTTGTGATCTCTCTCTGTCTGTCAAATAAATAAATAAAATCTTAAAAAAAAAAAAAAAAGGCCAAGTCCTTAGGGGCACTAGGACAAGATGTATTTTATAACCTTTCCAAGATAAGGGATTTTCAAGGGTCTAGTGCCAGTGGGAAATCTTGGCTATATGGGGCAAGTGACACCTTCAGCCGGCCAGCAGTAGCTGAGCAACAAGCTCACGCGTGGAGGCTGGGAGAGCCGGGGGTGCCGACGGCAAGGAGCATTTCATGTCTAACGCCTTCTGTCAGAGGACTGAATATTGGGAGGAAAAAACGGAGAGCAACGGGAATCGGGCCTTGGTTTATGCAAATGTAGATGTAGATGGGAATTTAAGCTTGTGGGGACTCCGGAGCAAAGTCCACTCCCGCTCAACCGCGAATTTTCCTTTTCCTTCCAACGCTTCCCACAGGTATAATATTTTCAGAGCCACCTTCTGAAAGACCCCTTTCCCGGGTCTTGTTGCTTTTTCACTCCCCAGCCTAATCCTAAACTCATGTCTTCTCCTTGAAAATGTCATACTAATTGCAGAGATTAAGCTCCACATGTGCCCCTCCCCCAAATTCTCTCCCTCCTCCAATTCCACCAAGGGTGAGGCTTCTCCGGTCTCACTTCCCACACATAATTTTCCACCCAAGCTCTTTTCAAGCTTTGTTAATTCTTAGCTGAGTCTAGTTTAGTCCTGGGGACCATTTTTAATTTCAGTTCCTCCAGGCAGTAGGCCAAATGACCTATTCAAGGCTGATAAAGAGTCGCTGACCTAGGCACAGCGCGTTCTGGGAGGTGAAGGATATTTCTGGATGGTTCTAAAACAAATCCTTTTCCTCCTGTCCCTGACCCTAGGATAACCAACGCATTGAATCCATAGTGGGATATAGAGTGTGGAATAGAGGAAAGTGGATCAAGGTGACAGTTTCAAACCATTTGTAGAATCCTGGGCCTCAGCTTCCTTCTTTGTAACATGTTCTTGAAGGCCCCCTTCAGCTCTGAAAGTCTATGGTCAGTTGTTTCAGGACAGCCTTGGAAATCTGAAGCACTTCCAAGGCCTTTCCTCATGCCATTTGCAGTCTAGAAAGTTGACTTTCCAGGGTCTAGTTCTGTCTTAACAGTAGATCTAAGTGTCTGGTTGGACTTGGATCTGCTTCAAATTTCCAGGAGCCACAAAGCATAATGTGTGTAATCCTTTAAGACCTAGACCCTCATTCTCCCAGAGCAGAGCTGGGAACAGACCACTCTCTGAGGGACGTATGAGGAAAGTACACCCCTGGGGTTTCACTATTATGTGGAGGGGACATGGGCTTGGGATTTTAAATAGGAAACTTCTGGAAATACTGGCTGGAGGCTCGGGGGTGAAATGGGGGAGGCCAGGGGAATTACAGACTGCTAAAGGCAGAGACTGAGCTTAGGAGTCACTGGGCTGGAGCACAGAGGACGAACTGATGGTCCCAGGCCAGGGAAGCCAACTCTGAGCTAGTGCACCCCTGGCTCATGGTGCACACAGGCAGTAAGACGGTCCCCTGCCCCAGCTGTTCCAGTCCCATAGCAGCTCCTGTAGTTTTCTTTGGCTCAGAGAAGCAGAGGCGTCCCTTGAGCCCTGGCCCCCCTCTACCGCAAAGCAACTGGCTCCCATTACCCCTGACAGCTCCAGAGAAACAGCCCAGCCCCCGGCCCCAGCCTGGCTCCGTGCCGTTCCCTTTTATGGTGAAGCTGAGGGAAAGCAAGCAGTGAGGGGGGAACAGGATCTCCCTGGGGCAGAGGACTGTAGAGCTCCAGGGCCTCTCCACTCACCAGAGACCCTCAGACATCTACCCACAGTCTTTTTCTCCTCAGTGATCCACTGTGCTCAGAACCCACAACCTCTCTTGCTCGTCCCAGCCCTTCCCCCCACCCCCTCCCTCACATCCGGGGGGTGATTTCCCACTTGGCTCAAGTCCCACCGTTTGGGTTTTGATTCCGGGAGGGTCCGCCCAATTTCCGACGCCCACCTCCGGGGGTGGGGTGGGGGGAGCCAGCCCGAGTTAGGGAGGCACTGTTCAGATCACAGGCAGGATCCTTCCACTTGGCGGCCGTGGGCAAAAAGGGGGGCGCTGAGAAGAGGAGCACCCGGCCGCCCCAGTTCTCTCCCCATTCTGAGCCGCCGTTCACCAACCCCTTCGCTGCCGGGGCCAGGGAGGGCACCCTGAGGGCAGGGCCTAAAGGAAGCACCTGGCTGGGCCGAGCCGGGAAGCGGAGGATGGGCAGCTGCGCGGGGGGCCAGGCAGGAAAGGGAGTGGGAGTCTGGGGGTCAGGCCGAGCCTCTCACCCAGCTATGCCGCCGCACCCTCGCCCTAGCCCACCGCCGAGCTCCGGGTGGGTGGCCACGGCTCTGCGCGGGCCCCTGCCGCGCTAGCGGCTGGCAGCTACAGCCAGTCGCGCCCCGCCGGCCCCAGGGGCGCGTCTGCGGGTTGCCCGCCCCGCCCCCTACGGGGGAGCCGCCCCTCCGTAGCCCCGCCCTACGCCCCGCCCCTTGCGATGCGAGGCGGGGAGCAAGCGAGACGGCGGGGCTAGAGAGCCGGTTCCGGCAGAGCTGCCAGGCCGGAAGTGCCCGGTTTGGGCTTGCGCTTGTGCTACCGACTTCCGGCCCGGGACTCCTACCTCCAGCTAGTACGCAGACCGCATCGCGGGGAGCGCAGCTGATTTTAGGTGAGAGGCACGCAGGCGCGCTCCACGGCGCTTCGGCGGTGGCTGGTACTGGGGGCGAGGACCGGTCCTGGCATGGGCGAGGAGAGCGCGGGCCTCAGGCTCAGTCCCTCCTCTTCTCCGTAGGATGATCACAGACGTGCAGCTCGCCATCTTCGCCAACATGCTGGGCGTGTCGCTCTTCCTGCTGGTCGTTCTCTATCACTACGTGGCCGTCAACAATCCCAAGAAGCAGGAATGAAAGTGGCGCTTTCTCCGCCCCAGGTAACGGTCCGGGGCTTAGCGCCCAGCCCCCGGAGAGTGGAGTGGCGAGGCCACGCCAGGGCCTGCAGGGTTCGAAACTTCAAATCAGAAAGTGTCGGGCCAAGCATAATATAGTCCAGAATTGAGCCCCTTTATCCGCACACAGTAGGGAGAGCCTTGCAGTGCCCTGCCCTCTCCCCCCTTAAACTGCTCCCTGCTAGAATGGGGGTGAGTTTTCTAATCCTCAGCCCCCGTCTTCATGGTACCCCTATGCCCAAGTTGGGGGTTTGGCTACAAGGAGGCACTGACACCGGTAGGAATAAAGGTACTGAGGATACCATCCGAGGATGAGCATTTGGGCTCTTCACTTAAGTAGTCCTCACTTCTCTAAGGTTGTTTAGGCTTTTATTTGGACAGAATTGGTGCGTGTGTGTGCGCGTGGGTGTGGTTGTAAAGATGTAGAATTCTATTTCCGTGTTCTGGGGTAAGGGGCCCTGAGTGAGCAGTTGGTTACTATAGACCCAAGTCCTAGGGAAAGGTGGGGGTGGGGGGGGAGCCTTAAGTGTGGGTCAAAAATGTAAAGGGGGGACAGGCTGGATGAAAGCTGATGCCTGAAGGATTTCCCCAGCGGAGAGCTGCAGCATTTTCCTTACCTCAGGTCTTTCCCGCTCTTTTCTAGGGTTCCAGGACATAGTCTGAGGCAAGATGGAGGGTATGAGGGGCCTTCACACTTCACTTCACCCCTCTACCCATCACAACATACAAAGCAACTACACCTGGATTTTTTCAAACAACTTTTATTTCCTCAAAGTCTTCCTTAACCCTATGGAACAAGAAGCTGCCACTGTGTAGGGCCCAGTATAGGGGTTTCTTTTCTACTCCCTCCCCCCAATATAAAAATATAGATATATATTTTTGTGGTCCCAAAATCTTGTGCTATGGAGGGAGGGATGGGGTAGCAGGTTCCTGCTTTGTCCTATCTCAAGGTGATGCTCTGCGATGCCTCAGAAGAGGGTGGCTGGCATTCCAAGGAGTTATGGTTGTCACATGGAATCAACAGCTGAGGGAGGGGACTAGCACATTTCTCACTGTGTTCCCATCTTGGGGCTATATACTGGGCATGAAGATTGAGGCATCAGACCCGGGGAGAAACAGTGAGTGGGGGAGATTTAGGGACAAAACAAACCTCAGGTTGGCCCAAGGGCCCCCCGCTGTAACAAATCCGGGACTGGGAGTCAGATAGACTACAGGAAATAGGAGAAAAGGCAGGGGCAGAGCGGGGCCGTGGGGGCCCGGCCTGAGGCAGCCTGCAACAGAGAAGAGAGAGGAATCAGGGTTGTGAAAACTCTGCCCCTCTTCTGCTCTGTTCGCTAGGGGCTGGGAGGTGGGAAAGGTGAGATGGGTAAGGATAGAGGGGTTGAGCATTGCATAGTGGGCCGATGCTGGAATGGACCAGCTCCGAGGCCTTAGGCCCTAACATGAAGTTGTTTTCTTGTCTGTTTGGAGGGAAGACTGAGGCCATGATGGAAAAAAATCGGGAACAACATTCTTAATGAAAGTACCTTAATGAAAGTCTTTTGGGGGCCAGAGGGAGTAGAGAGGGAAGAAAATGATCCTGAATGGCAGAAATGGGAATGAAGGGATAGAAGTGAGGTGGGGTGAGGGATTGGACCCGGGTGCTCACCCTGGTGCAGAGTGGGGTCCCGGCTCCGGCTCACTGCTCTCTCTGGTGCGGGGTATAGGGGATGTGGGGCCAGAAGCGCCGCTCATCCCTCTGCGAGTCGGCGGTGAGCCCCGGCCCAACCTGGGCCTAGCCTGTATAGATAGGGGGTGGGCTAAGAGGCTGTATTCTTCCATGAACTGTTTTGCTTCTGGGTTTGCTTCTAGAGTTTCCATGTTAAGAATGTAGTACAGGAGTCAACATAGGTATTGGGACCTTGAATTTCTGGGTACTGTCCCTGGCTGAGAAGGTAAGGCAGGGTCACAGCTAGAGAATTCTTGGGTTCAGTCTATGATTCCTAGTCTTACTTAACTAAGAGAGGCAAAAGGATCAGGCATTTAACCTCCATGGTTGTATCATGGCTAACATCTGGCTAAATAGAGAAACAGTGTATGGAAAGCAGCTGGAGAATCGGTAGATCTCCCTCGGAGCCTTCTGTGCCTCAGCCCCTGCCAGAGCAGCTTAGGTTTCACCCATCCAGTCTCTGCCTGTACCCAGCTTTAGCGAACTTAGCATGGGGATCCGGACTGAATTGGAGCTGGCGGCACAGCTGTTCTTAGGAGCAGCAACCTGATGTGTTACCTGGGGAATCCGGGACCCCTCCTGGCGGGAACTCTCCTCGGGCAGGTCTGGGCAGAAAGAGAGGAGAAGCTAAGGGCAGGGGCAGGCAAAGCCAAAGCTAGCAGGCTGAGGTTGAGGTATATCTGGAGGGGACAAGGGTTGGAAGCAAGCAAGAAGCCTGGCTGAAGGGACTGGGGGCAACGGACAGACAGAGGCACCCAGGCACGAGAGCAGCTTTCTGATACAGTCGAGGGGAGAGGCTTAGAGCAGTGCTGAGCATTTTCCCTCCCACTGCCCAGATGTATAGTGCCTTGCTGGGCTCTGCCAGAATTGGGCTGGGGAAGACCCAGAAATGTTACCTGCAATCGTGTCCTGATACAGGGGATCCGAGGTCCTAGCAGCCCTTTCCCAATCACCATGACAGCCTCTGGCTTATCCCCTGAGGACAGGAGTGAGCAGCTGCTCCCTAGGGAACAAAGGAAACATATCAGGGTAGGGGACCACGGAGAAGAAGAGGCAAATTTCTTTAGATTAGGGTTTTCTCAGTATTGGGAATACTGACATTTTGGGCTGGATGATTCTTTGTTGTGGGGGGCTGTCTTGTGCATTGTAGAATGTCAAGCAGCATTCCTGGCCTCTACCCACTACATAGCCCTTCTTCTTCCCCTGTAACCCATCCCCACTGTAACCACCAGAAATGTCTTTAGACATTGCCACATGTTCCCTAGTAGGCAAAATGGCCCCTGCTTGAGAAGCATGGCATGTTCTAGTCTGGTCCAAGGGCTGCAGTAGCAACTTGGATCTTGAATCAGAGCCCATCAAGCTGAACCATTCTGAATGTCTAGAGCTTAGAGCCTATCCCATCCAGATGGGTAAGTGTTTAAGGGTCAAGTCAGTAGCCATGATGGTGGATCGAGGGCTACCCAATGAAGAGAGCGGACAGGTTGGGAGTTCTGAGGGAACTCTGAGGGAGTTACAAGATGTTGGGCTGGAGTCTTCGGACTCATTCCCACCCAGTCCTCTGCACAGCTGGGGTGTAACTTAAAGGAGAGCAGGTGGCCTGGGTTTTATGTGGATGATGTGGTTACACAGCATTTGCCATGCTGACAAGTGAAAGGCCGATGCCTTTTTCATTCAGTTTTGTCTAATGTTGCCCAGCTCCTGGAGTGAGGCAGCTCAAAGTAGCAGGCACTCGGGATGTTCAGCTATGAAAATGAGGATTAAGTGAGGTGATGTGCTTAGAGCAGTGCCTGCCACATAGTAGACACTCAAGGAATGGTAACTTATTTTATTCTACAAAGACAGTCTCCAGCTTCCTGTACAAGGGCATAGGTGCTTAGGGGTCTAGGATAATCCAGGAGGGTAACTGATGTTCCTGGTGTGCAGAGGGCTGCATTACATCAAGTCAAGAAAGAGGTCCAGGTCAGGGGGCAAGGGAGCCGAAGGGGCTGGTTTAAGCCTAGTAGGGAGCCTGGTCTATACCCTCTGTGGCAAGATCCAAGGCTAGCCCACCCGGATTTCGGTGGCAGTGGGTACAGACCTGATATGCTGAGTGAACTGGGCAGCAGACAGGAGCCCATGCTGGGTGAAGAGGCCAGGCTAGAACCGGGGGCAGGATTTGGGGACGGGGCCAGGCTGCTTGAAGTAGGGCGATGGGTCAGTGGCTGCTGCCGCCGTCTCCTGTCCTGACTTCGGGGCTCTGAGTGGAAGGGACACAGGAGAGAAAAGGGCAAATAAGTGAGGCCCTGGCACCCCACCGCCCTGCTGGTGCCCCCTGCTCAGAAGATGCCGGCTGTCAAGCTTGTCCTCACACCAGCAGCCCTCTCCAGAGGTAAATCTCAGATGGGTAGGAAGACTTGTGACATTCCGGTTACCCAGGCCACAGCCAGCCCTCATCCACCTCTCTGGGGCTAAACAACCTCATTCACTTGTCCATTTCTGAACAGTTCAGTTCTCTTCCAGCAGAGATGTTACTGAGCTGGGCTTCTGAAACACGGCTCCTCTAGGTTCTCCCACCTCTTAACTGCCCCTCTTTGTTTGCTCTTCCTGACCCCAAGTACCAATGCCCACAACCCCCTCCCAATTCTGCCCTTGGTCCCTTCCTGCTCTGCATACTCTAAACTCTCAGGCTGCTCTCCGGCCATTTCTGCAGAGCTACAGGTCAGTGTCCATTAGCATCTCTCCCTGCTAGTCTCTCCTGACTCCAGCAAAACTCATTTTCTCCCATCCTTCCTTTTGTTTTTCTTATCTTGATGAAAAATGGGCTCGAAACCCTGTTTCATCTTTTGACTCCTTGCTTACATTTTGATTTGTGTTTAACCAAATGTGGAAAACACTGCCTCTGCCTTTGCTTGGATTCCTCCTTCAAAGGAGAACCTTGCCGTGGCCTGTGTCCAGATACAAGTCTCTCTCTGATTAGGCTTTTGGAAAAATGCCCTGCTGGTTGTCCTAGCTTGAATCTGTAACCTTTTACAATCCATCTTTCACGCTGGTGCCAGAAATTATTCCAAAACCTAGACTTGATGAGAAATCATTTGGTTCAGGCCAGGGGGAGATACTAAAGGTCTTTTAAAGGATAAAGTCTCAACCTTTTAACATGGCCTTCAGAGCTCCACCGGCTGTGGTTCCAGTCTACCCATCCTTGGTAGGATGCTGACTTGATCCTTCATACCCTCTGCTGTTGCCCCTGGGGCAGCGAGCCCTCTGGTTCCTCTACAAGGACTATTTCCTCTTCTGGTTAAACTTTACATGTCCCATCTCAAATGTCACCTCGGTGTAGCCTCCCTGACCATCACAGCTCGAATTAACTGTTCCCCTCCCTTCATTGTCCTTTGTTCACTCGGCTTGTAATTGTTTATGATTTTTGTCCCCTTAATGAAATAAGTTAGTCACCTAAAGTACTTAAGAATCATGTTTGGCACATAGTACTCAGTAAATCTTAACTAGTATTCTGCTGAAACTTGCCTCTCGAGTATAGAGACTTTGTCTTTTCCAGTCTATATATCCCAGTGCCTACAAAATTCTGCCTAGAAAACCAGACACTTTAGTAAAGGTTTCATTTTCCTGGGTAGCAGACACCCTACAGACCACAGGCCCCTTCAGTAATCTCTGAGCTTAAGGACACAGGTTTACAACCCTGTGTGGCAGCTCTCTGGCCCAGTCCTTGTGGCCGAAGCCTCACTGCTACGAGCTCTGAGAGCAGATGGTGGCTGGAGTGGGTGGGGAAGCTTTCGGGTTTGGCAGGTCCTTCCTCATCACAGAGGGACAGTAGGTGCCAACATGCTCTCAGACCAAATGGACTATTAACCTTCACGGAGCTGAAGTCAGTGAAGGTCCCAGGATGCCAGCTGGGCCCTAACAGAGCAACATGTATTAGATGGAAAACACCTCTAATTCAGGAAGAAGGTGACAATAACTTGTCCAGCTATACTGAGCAGTAGCTAGCAGGGACAAGGCTAATTTTGGAAGTCCCAACCCAGATTTTTAAAAATTGATTCTTAGATAAATAAGCAATAGGAAAAAGGGAGAGATTTCAGGACAGAAGCTAGTAGCTTTGAGAAGTTTGTTGAGAGGCTGGGTACCAGCTGCAGACAAGAGTCAAAAATAACCAGACCTCTCAACTCTACATCAG